TGTAAAAAGACTGACAATGAGGATTTTATTTTTCAAAACTTACATTTTAGGCAAGAGAAGTAAAAAAATATTTCTATGATATTGACTTCAATATTCGAAAACGAATACAGAATATAGTTGTTATACTTACTTTGTTTTTACTTACCTATAGGTAGATTAGGGGCCGTCAAAAATTCGTCAAAAATTAAGATTTTTGTTGTTTTTTTAATACACGTGATTTGGTTGAAGGAAGGAGAGGGTAGTCTTAAATCTCACCATCTATCACCAAGGGAGAGAGGTGTCAAAAAATGTTGAAAAAACATCACGTTATTAATGGACGGCCCATTACGAAAAAAAACAAAAAGATTATATCTTCTTAATGAAAAATGCTTAAAAAATCCACTTTGTCCCTGGCCTTCTGAGATGGGACTCGAACCCAGGGCCTTTCGCAATCCGCAAGATTATATCTTACTAGGAAACCTATACGAGGGTCAAACTGAAAGTTCTTAGAACTGGCCACTTATAAACAATATAATAAAAAAATAATTCTAAAATTTGAAAATATAACTCTTTGCCAATATTACTGAGTATATATTTCATTCATTTGTCATTTGTTTTACGATTTGGCGGCAAATTGAAAATTGTCTGTGTCACGTCATCATGAATTTAACACGAGAAAATTTTCGTGCAATGATATTTTATGACTTTCGATGTCATTTAAGTCAACAAGAAAGTTATGATAGACTACGATTGGCCTTTCACGATGAAGCCCCATCTCGTGCGACTGTTTACAACTGGTTTAATGAGTTTAAACGTGGTCGCACTAATCTCACTGATGATTTACGTGAGGGACGGCCTTCTACGGCGACGACTGAAGATAACATCTGTGTTGTGCGGCGTATGATAGAGACTGACAAAAGAGTGACCTATCAACAGATTCGGACAAGCTTAGGCATCGGTATGAGTCAAGTGCACAAAATCCTCCACGAACATTTAGCGGTCAGGAAGCTTTGCGCCCGGTGGATACCTCATAATTTGACTGAGGCTCAAAAACTCCATCGTGTGGATTGGTGTCGTAAAATGATTGAAAGATTTAACGGAGGTGACTCAAATGCTGTGTTCGACATACTAACAGGTGACGAAAGCTGGATTTACTGTTATGATCCTAAAACCAAAAGACAATCTGCTCAGTGGGTGTTTCCTTTCGAGGAGTTGCCAACTAAAGTGAAGAGAGATCGAAGTGCGGGAAAAAAAATGGTGGCCTCGTTCTTTGGAAGGATAGGTCATTTTGCAACAATTGTGTTAGAGGATCAAAAAACAGTTTCTGCAGAATGGTACACTACCAATTGTTTGCCACTTGTCTTGGAAAAAGTTCGAGAGAAACGACCTCGCAGTAGGATCCTCCTTCACCACGACAACGCCTCGTCGCACACCGCCAAGCGAACGATCGACTATTTGGCGACATCAAACGTTGAATTACTGGGTCACCCGCCGTATAGCCCCGACCTCGCGCCTTGTGATTTTTATTTATTTCCAAAAATTAAAGAAAAACTTAAAGGAAAGCGGTTTATGAATGCTGAAGAAGCGGTGGCTGCGTATCGCGATGCCATTGAAGAGACCCCTAAGGACGAGTGGGCAAAGTGCTTTTCCCAGTGGTTCCATCGCATGCAGCGGTGTATTGACGTGAATGGACAATATTTTGAAAAGATATAATAAAACTAATAACTGGCTAATGTAATCAGTTTTTGATTTTCTAAGAACTTTCAGTTTGACCCTCGTAGCACTCGGTGCTACCTACCCAGGGATGTAACCAAGAAGTTTTGATATTATTTATATTACTGAGAAGTTTAAATCCTATTATAATATTATAAATGTAAAAGTTTCTTTGTTTGGATGTTTGTTCGTCAATCACGCCAAAACTATTGAAGGGATTTTGATGAAATTTGTTATACGGATAGGGTATTAGCTAACTTAGATAAAAGGATACATTTTTATGTTACTACTTAGATAATAGGATATTTATCCAACTATACATTTCCCTTGGAACCACGCCGGCGAAGCCACTGGCGAAAACTAGTATTATATAAATTCCTTCAATGTAACTCGTGGTTTTTTTAATTTAATATTTGTATGGAAACTTCGTTGCATCAATCCAAGTGGCCTTTGATTTGCTGAATACAAAAAAAATTGAGAAGCATTACTACCCAAGTACCCACAATAGCAAAAAATTGAAACACGACCAACATATTATTATTTCAATACGATTGTTTAATACAGTTTAATAGATAAGTTTATTTGCTCCTGTGACTTTTTTATTGAGATTTCGTTATCATCTTAACTAGCATTAGCAAGTCGCTCTACGAAATCCAGGTTAGAGTCAAAAACGAACGTGATAATAGAAAAATCTTATGAATGCTTTAGTTGCAATGCAAGTGATATTATAAACTTAAGAAACTATGAGACCAAAGATGTCTGGCTGGTAAGCAGTTTGATTTTTTGAATTTCCAGGGAAATCGAGACCTTATAACACATTAATAAGCAAACAAAAATCATGTCATTATGTATCAAGCAGCTCCATAAGGCATTTCGTAATCACTGGTGGTCTCAGATCTCTGGGCCCCATGATCTGTCTGTGTGCGGTGTACATCGAGGTACAGTAGACATCGCTCCTAACGTAACACCGGAAGTCCTTAGCAGCAGACAGTACGGTGCAAAATGGCGGGGAAGTGCGATTCGAGTCCCGCCGGCCACAGTAGCAGTGTGGCCAGATCTGACGAGATGGCATGCGCGACCCTATCGATCGCCGCGGATGACTTTCAGAGGAGAGGACTGCGCTCAGCCTGCGTTCGAAGTCCAAAATCAGATACGCTGCAACTATATTTTTTAAGGTTACATTTTATAGCAACGGAGTTTAGCCAATTAAGCCTATAGTCTTAAAATAAGCCTTATTTGTAAACACTCTTTGGTTGCGCTCTGATAAATTTTAGTTTTGTTTGAAAGTAACGGCTCGTATCTAATCTTATAACAGAAAAAATGTTTAAATATCATATATATATATATATATATTATTTATTTGTTGTTCATATATAAAAATGATCCGCCAAAGTATATGTACACGCAGCACTACCAAACGACTGCACCAAAGTGAAAGATTATTTTTGTTGTGTTCCTTATTGTCAGGACAAGATTAGTGTATACGAAAATTTATAAAAAGAAATAAAATACGGGTATATTTAAATGCCTATTAGGTGTATTATTTTCTCTTAATAAAGAATCCATCTTATTTAAAATATTTTTGTTTTATTTGGGGGGCTAACTGATTTACATTACATTAAATAATTGCTTACAATCTATTTAATGAAGAGCCTCGAGAGATTACAGTAAATTTACCTCAACAAAAAATATTGTAGTGTAACATTACTCTTAATAACTCGAACAAAAACCAATAACCACTCATATCTATAGACGAGAGAAGAAATTGCTTGAGAAAATTAATTTGAATTTGAATAACTACTGTTAATGGCTAATAATTATAGTATTATTAATATTAAGCGTTTTTACTTCATTCAAATTTTTGTTTATTTTTTTTAAATATTTGCTTAGGTAATTACTTTTACTCTACTATACCTCTAGATCTGTATCTAGAGAGTTAGTTAGTAATAGGGTCCCCTTTTACGGAACCCTAAAAGCTAATCAATACTATTTTGATTGTGACGTCACGCTCATTCCCAGTACATGTATATCATTAACGAGGTTGAGAACCTCTCTAATTTTACATTTACTCATATAAGAATGACGCATCTTGGCTTGAATATCAACAAAACCGGGTACCTATGAAATATACCAACAATCTATGGAAATAGAATTTTCCCTTGAAACTCAATTTCCAAGAATCTTACTTACTTAATGTTTATTTGTGATTTTTACAGGCTATATACATTTTTATGAAATAATACTTATAGTTGCTTCTCAATTTCTTAGAATCTTACTTAATTAATGTTTGTTGGTGATTTTTACAGGAAATATACATTTTTATGTAATAATAGACTTATAGTTGCTTAGTGTGTTCACGTTATCAAAAGAAACCATTATATATCACAGAAATCTTAAACTTCGTAGGCCGCTCTCCAGGATGTACTCTTCTTACAGGTTGTTACAGGAGGATTTGGATTAAGTAATTGCTTCTGTTCGGAACATAAAGATATTTATTTGTAATTATTAATCAATCTATCCTGTGATCCTGTGAGGGATGATACAGATGAATTAATAAACATTACAATGTATATTAATTCGTAAGTTGAGTTAATTTTAATTCAGTAGTTAATTTTGCGTATGCAGTGTTCTCTTGTAAGTGGTGGGACAACAGGCATGTATTTCTTTTATGTTTTTTTTTTATATTGTCGTGTAACATTGTGCTCACTGTTAGAGAACAAAGAAAAATAAATAAAACTTTATGTCCATGGAACTTATCCTGTAAAGAAAGAAATGAGCAAAAATTACGTTTAGTTCAATCAACAGCACGTCAGGTTTTATCTAAAAATGACAAATTTCTCCACTTGATTTTAAACCTTAATAAACAATATGTGAAACTCGATTTTATCGAAAAACTGAAACTCGATTTGATAGTTTTTTTTCGGTTATTTTAATTATACAGAATAACATTTAGAGCGGTCAGTATGAGAAAGTCTATACACGAAAATCTATTCTTAGGAACGATATTATCGATTTTAATGACAAGAAGATCTGCATTCATACATTAAAAAAGAAAGTAGCTCTCTGTTAAAGAATCGAACCAGGATGATTCGAAAAATAAAACTTATATTATTTCTATTTAAAAGTCAAAGAACTTATTGTTACTGTGAAACATGTACATGTTTCATACGTCAAAAAAAATTTCATATACTTCAGTTTATTATCCTTTAATTTATTTTGGTTATGCCTAAAGTTAATATAATATAGGTCTTGTTATTAGCAATATACCTTCAAATATAATTAATGTGATGTTTGTTTTTGTATTGCAGTGTGCAACTTCATAGTGCACGAACGATGCGTGGGGCAGGTGGTGACGCCGTGCTGTGGGGTGGCGCCGAGCCTCATCAAGGTACGACAACGGTTCAACTCATATAACTATAAGACTTCTTCCTTAATCTAGAACAAGACATACCTAGGTAACGCCTTATCTTACGAATCGTCTAAGCAAATTAGTTTCATTTCAAATAAACATTTTTTCTATTATCCTTTCACACATTTGTGATCTGTCATATTACACACATGCCTAGCGCAAGGCGCCGCATAATGCATGTCATAACTTTAGACATTGATAGACAATGATACTTTCCGTTAGATGGTTCCTAATCTTTGGTGAAATGCACTTTCACCTTAGGCGATTGCTGAATATTTAGGCGACAGATTTGGGCGACTCTTAAGTTTAGTGAAAACGAGTATAAAGCAAAGTCGCCGAACAAAAAGAATTTCGTACGTTGACCTTTGTGCATGCTGATAGATATCGTAAACATTTTAGGTTCACTTTACAACGACAAAATTGGCTAGATGCATCTGTGCGAGCACAATAGCAATATGTATGCGCACGTCATTCACTATGTTATGGGACACATTACTCTATACTTATTATTTTACTTTTAATTGTATTTCTTTTGTACTCTTTCTACTTTGTTTATAAGAAAATCTGTAAATCCGACGGCAGCCCTCTCTTTCAATTTAAATTTAGATTAAGAAGGCCATCAGCACAGATTCCCGAACAGACAAGACCCAGAAATTCAGATGAACCCTATAGATGAGCCTCACTGCGATCAAGGATTTAATGGAGACTTTAGAGGTCTATCCAAAGTCTCCTCTTAAAGGAGAAGATGTTATATCTTTCCGCAATTATAGCAACTGCTTAGCTTAAGCTTAAAGAGACTGCTCTCTTCTCAGAGCTTCTTTAGTAGGTATTATTCAAATATAAGTCAGTCTGATTTCAATACCCATCCAGAGCGGTTGCTTAGGGTCCCTTGATCCTCGCATATATATATTACTCGTATATAAATTGTCGCGAGTATAATATTTGTTTGTTTTTTTAAAGCCTTCTCGGCTACCCCGTATAATAGTACGAAAGTCTCTATGTGTGGCGTGCTTGAGAGTACTTGCATTTGAAAACGTGACAATAGGTCGCTTCCATAGAAATGACAAGAGCACGTTGACAGAAACAATACGTCACGATGACAAACATGCACCAGTGCGCGCAAATGTTTAGGGTTTAGGCATGGTTTTGGCCTTATTCAGGCGCATTTTTACTGGATGATAGGGTTCGCATTAGGTAAATCATTTTCAGTTGTCAATAAAGCACATATGCTGAATGAACCTCAAACTTCAATAAATATTTAAAAAAATAAAATCAGCAATAATTGGAATGAAAGTAAAAACAAAGCGTACTGTTAAATATATAAATACAAATTCATATTGGTCTTCGAATATTATGATTTTTCAACTCCAAACATGAAAGTTTCTGAAAAGCGTTCAGGGTAAGAAAATAATGCCAGTAAATGTTTCCTTCGTATAGTTTTCTATGGGTCTGTAGGTAGTAAATAAAAATATGCGAACAAACGTTTTGAATAATCGTCTAATAATTTTAATTGTTTCAGAATCCAGTGGCTCACTGCTGGTCGGAGCCGACACACCACAAACGCAAGTTCTGCACGGTGTGTCGAAAGCGGCTCGATGAATTACCAGCTTTACATTGCATGAGTAAGTGTACTTCAAATTCACACGAGCTTTGCCACCAACATGTCTACTGTGTAACTTTCTCTTAATGAACTTCAGGTGAATTTTGACATTAGGGATTACACTCAAAAATACCCATAAAGGATCACTTTGTTGTCGAAAAACTCGAGTGGAAAATAAAAACCTATATTATATGTCTACAATTTCCCAAAGCTGTTTTCGACACTCAACATAATCAAAACTGGTAGGATAGGATACTTCCCGTTAACTTAGAACTTTAGCAAGTAGCATCGTTTTATAGTAAAAATTCTATAAAAAATACAAAACTTATATTATTAATGTAATCATATATAATATAGTCTTATAATGGACCGAAATCAAATAGAAGCTATTAGTTCAAGAGATGTGTCAAAGACACATCATGTTATTTAATTTTTCTGTTACAGAAACTCTTATTTATAATATTAATTTTAATTAATATTGGTACTGCACCTTTTATATACGTTTCATACACAGTTCTATACGTAAAGTGAAGTAATTTCCAAGCACACAATTTTACGTGGTGACTCCTATTTTGATGAGCGTTAAACACGTTGAATTTGAATTCAATAACCGTTGTATGAAGTTCAATTATAACGAGGTAGATCACTGCTTTTAAATTTGCCACCACCTCGAACGGTACATAGTTGGGAACGCCAAACATATCTAATTATATCACATAAGTATTTAAAACTTAACTTTTATTTCTAACACTTCAGATACTTCATTTAAAGGTGATTTTTTTAACTCTTAAAACTGTTATGCTGGAAGAAAAATGCTAAATAGAGTATATTACCTAGGTATATTCATAGAAGTGTGTAGAATGAGTAGATTATTTTATTTACGAAAGACAATTATGAATCTTATAAAATCTCCTCGTCACAAATGTATTTGATTTGCTAGTTTCATAAATTACTTCCCTATCATGAACTGATAATTCGGACAATTCCAAAATAAAATTTGTGTAAAGGTTTGTAATCCTATATTCGTGAAATTTCTAGAAATCTTATCTTTTGAGCTTACATTAGTCTTTAAGTAAAGATAGCATACTGGTCCATGGCTATGCCGCTACACTCTAGCAGCAAACTACACAAGGGTTATGGGCAGAGGATGATCCTCCGCGTGTCATCGGACTGACTGACTGAATAACCCACAGTAACTTGCGATTACAACCCCAATCAATTGACCATAAAAATAATCAAATTATATTTGATAAATTTCGCATTGACAATGCTATTTTGATAAAAGATATTTAATTAATTTTAATGACGCCCATGCTAGTCACTCATTCTTAACTCGGGACAAATACTAGCACAGTAGAAGTTACAAACTAAAATTATAGGCAAACTTGGACTAAAAGCTACTCTGTAATGTGCAGTATGCGAGTACTATGTCCACGGCGAATGCGTGGACTTCGCGGCAGCGGACTGCAAGGAGAACGCGACTTACTGCGCGGGCAGCGAGCCGCGACACGTGCACCACTGGCGCGAGGGCAACCTGCCCGCCAACTCCAAGTGTGCCGCGTGCAGGCGCGCCTGCTGGTCCGCAGAGTGCCTCACCGGATACAGATGCGAGTGGTGCGGCAGCACGGTCAGTCAGTCAACAATCAACATTTCGTTATATACACTCTTACAATTACATATATGGCCGTTCGAATACATATGTGGCCGTTTTCACTAAACTTACGAGTTGCCTAATTATTAGAAATCGCCTAAAGTGGAAATTCATTATACCTTATGACATTAAGCAATGCCTAAGGTTATGACATGCGTTATGTGAATGCTCTAGGTAAAATCTAGGTCTTGCGTAATATGATGTATGAGTACGTTAAAAATGTGTCAAGGGATAAAAAAAATGTTTATTTGAAATAAAAATAAACTGATTAGGCGATTCGCAAGATTAGGGGTCTTAGTTAAGCTATGCTTTGTTTTAGGTTAGTGAACACGAGTGATAGTCTCAGAGAGAACATGCTAGTAAACATCAAGCTGCGAGCATTATCTAGAATTTGTGAATAAACATATTCTCCTTACCAGCTAGGGACTAAATGCAGAAGAATTGATTGCTTTATGTAGATTTTAAAAGGAAATGGTCTATTATACCAAATTAGTACGCTAAGCCAACGCTTCACAGGTTCTTATCCATTCTATGGGATGAAGGCTAAAGCAAGCTTTCGAAATATCAAATTAATAAATAATATAAAAAACAGATATATGGAAAACGTTCAGTACACACAGTAGCACGTTAGGTTATTATAATAACCCCTGCTCGCCTCTGATATAATAGGCTCGAATGAAATCGAATAGGAAAAATGGGCCATGCACACCCAGTGCGGAATGGTGGGTATTAACGACTGCAGATGTAACCGGGATAAACGGCTTAACAGGCCTTCGGAAACACGGAGGATCTCGAGATAATTTTAGTACACCAATCCTATGACCCGTACTTGCGAAAGTTGTTTAACGACCGTATCGCAGACCCAGCGCGTTATGCACTGCGCCATCGAGCCCTTCTTTTTTTTGTTACAGTGTCACGCTGGTTGCCGTGCACTAATCCCAGAAGAATGCAATTTCGGCATGCTACAGCCGATCTTCCTGCCGCCGTCTGCGGTCTCCATCCCTCGCACGGAGGTGCCCATGGAGGCGATCATCGGCGTGCACGTGCGGCCACCGCCCTCGCAGCGCGACTTCGGCTGCCGTAAGTGTCTGCTTCACAGCGGCCGAAGCGGCGGCCGCAGCGCTTTCGGTGCCATGTGCCTCGCAATTCGCGGTGCTTGTAGCCGCTTTTAGAACGTCAACACGGTCTGCTCTCGAACGATCGGACGCCACTGTTCGAACCTCACAGCGGATTTTTCTTCTCCATTTCAAGGTGGCATTCGGCAGTGCAAGAATGAAACAGAGTCGGTGACACGACAAACGATTGTCGTTGACCTCTTTTTATACTGTACCTGTCGGCGTACGTTTTCGCATCTCGTTTCGATCGTGCTCATCCAAATGCTACCATTAGATAGATATTTTTCTCACGAGTAATTAGGTACATACAGCATTCCTTCTCACCTCATTTCCGAGTCTTCAGCTTCCGCCTTAGCACGGAGGTGATTAAGGGTTAGCGTTCGGGAGCGGGCAGGGTGCGCTTCGGTTCTCGAGTCGATCTTTTCGCGAATTTCCGGTAGAGGGTAGTTAGCGCGAATCGCGCGGCACATGGGGAGTATAAGCGTGCGGCGGTGGAGTGTGAGCGGTGTCTTTGGGCAGCGCGGGAGGAGGTGGGTGGCTGGGCGCCGGCGCGGCTGGTGACGCTGGCGCGGCGGCTGCTGCCCGCCGCCTGCTCGCCACACGGCGGCGCCTCTCCCCCCTACTCCAGAGGTAACACGCCTCCGCCCAGCATGCTCGACTCCTCACCTCCGCTACTTTACAGCCTTTCATGCATAACATCACGTACCCGCTGGGTCACTTAATATCGATATCAGTGAATCCTGAAAACAACAAACCTGAAACTTATCAATGCATAGGTTCTTCACATTAAATAACATCTAACGGACAATGTAGACTATAAACCCAGCCAAGTTTGAAATTCTGAAAGCGTGTTCAGCTTATTTAACATATTCTCTGAAAATTTAGTATGAATCTTTATAAAATATTTTACGTTTAGCCAGAATGTTAGAAGTGATGTAATATGTGAAGGGCACCCTATATGCACTAGACTGTTTTCGATAGCTAGCGATATAAATTTTGAAAGAAAATAATGTCAAAAAATATCCGTAAGTATGTAGTTCTACAGCTGAGACGATACTAGACAGGCTTTGATTGTGATTGTACGCTTCGTGATACAATGACGCAAACTCGCTTTCGTCAAAAATATCTTTACGTATATTATATAAAATAAACTTAGCGACCAAAAGGATAGTTCGAAAATTTTATTGTAAAAAACAAATGCTTGAATTACATTAATTTATTTAAGGCAAGAGGTAGAAGGAGCAAATAGTTTCCTTCTGAGTGAGCTCCTCCCACCGTAGATTTCATTCATGCCTTGGGCTGAATTGATGTTCTTGCGAAAAAAAAAGACACGTAGATGACAATTCCACCTACAATATATTTATGAAAACAAACATAAAGAATCTTTATTCCTAATGGGTATAATTTCTATTCCATGATCGTTTATTTTTGAATTCAATATGAAACACACAGAATATAAAATAAAATTTAGACAGATATGGCAGGATAATGTAGTATACATAGCAAATTTCCTTACTTTTTCATTTTTTAAAATATACCTTTACTTCCTCTTTGTTGTTATTATAAATTTCTATTCCTCAATTTAATTAAAGTATCTACATATTTCTGACCGATGTTTATCTCCAAATATAAACCTAATTTTAAATACCTTCACAATTCTCTTCAAATATAATTTTCGAACTTTATCTTTTGGTACTTAACTAATAAAAGATTTTATAAAGCCTTTATAAAACTGCTATTCCTCCGAATAAATCGCATGCCAATATTATTATAAAGCTTATATAATATTTATTATTATATTTAATAGGTAAATATACAAGACTACCTTCTGACATTATACTTTTGCACAGATCATCTATTAAAATCTTGAACATACACTCCCATCTCCGGACACAATTTCTGTGTCATATACCATTTGACTCTCTCTTTTATCATAATATTTTGTATAAAATTACAAGATAATTATAATTTTTACATTAAGAGTACGCATAAAATTTCATAAAAGGAAATCGCAAGAGATAAGAGATGAAGCGCGATAAAAAGCATTTTTATTTTATTTTTAAAAAACTAATAGCTACAAAATTTTGTACAGTTAGGTTGGATTTACTTTGAAGTATATTTTTTATTCTTTTTGACGCTTTAAAAGAGCTTGTTTTTTTCAATTTCATCGTAATCTCTTGGGCGAATCTTTTCATACCCATATTATCAGAGTACAATCTTAGGTGTTCCGTCTCTGAAGTTATTTTAATATTTTCGTATGTTCTATACCAGATTCTTGACAGTGCGCCTAAAATTACTCGCCATCTTGGATCGACCGCTATTTTTTATATAAAAATGACGATACATACATTATTTATTATTATTTCTATTGCAATATAAATATAATCTTGTTAAATTGAGTCTTAAAATCTTCCAATATCAAGCCAAGGCACGGGAACTTAGATGTGAATCCGCCAAGACGGGCAAAAGTACAGCACGCAAGAACCTTCTTTTAGCGAAGCCATTTGGGCCATTTTCGATATCTCTATAACTACCAAATACATTGTGGAGAAAATTAGAAATATAATTTATCAGTGGCCAAGAGGACATTACATAGCTGCTTAGACACATTTCTAAGTTACATTAAATTTAAACTAGTGGGTACTTGCAAGAATTATTATAATTCGAAGTTTCTTATTAAAATTTTCACTACCTATATTAAAATAATAAATGTCTTTTTATGGAAAAAATTGACATATATATATATATATATAGAGAAATTCCTTTTTTTGTAACGCATATAATTTTCACATGGTTTTACTGCGATATTTTGTGTAATTTACTCAATGCGGTTTTTTACTTTTTTTGTTAATTATCAATTTGATATTATTTAGGTTTACTTTATGCGCCCTCTTAAAGGCGTCCGGTAATACTAATTATATAAATACTAGCTATTGCCCGCGACTTCGTCCGCGTGGTAAAGTTACTTAGAGCAGCATTTCTAATGAATATTTATTAATTATATCGTGTTATATATCTGAAATATTTATCCCCTCAGGAGTGATTTTTTTTTATTCCTTTCTTAAGGGATGCCTACGTCATAGTAGCTTTATGCATGCAAAGTCTCAGCCCAATCGGTTTAAAATTGACAAAGTTTCACACAAACTTCAGCCCCTATTTCATCCCCTTGTGGGTAGAATTGATCAAAATCCTTTCTTAGCGGATGCCTACGTTATAATATCTAATTGTACGCCAAATTTTGGCCCGATCCCGCTAGTGGTTTGGGCTGTGCGTTGATATATAACTATGTCACTCACCTTTGAGTTATATATATTTAGATAATCAAAATATAAAACTATAACATTTTATCGGTTACTTTTCAGTCACACTTCAATATGAGAACGTAAAATTCTATTTCGCATTGCTATTTCCTTTTATTATTAACTAGTGGACGCCCGCGACTTCGTCCGCGTGGAAGTCGGTATCCCGTGGGAGTGAGAAGTTTTCCCAGTAAAAAGTACCCTATGTGTTATTCTGATGTATAACCTATATTGCTGTAAAGTTTTATCCAAATCCGTCCAGTAGTTTTTTCGTGAAAGAGTAACAAACATCCATACATCCATACTTACAAACTTTCGCCTTTATAATATTAATAGGATTTTTAATTATAGTTGTTATCTTGTAATTTTATAAACAACCTATTTATTTCTTAAAAGTACCTTATCACAAGATTCTTTACATCTAATATGAGACTGTGAGCCGCCCTCATGAATACTCGTGATGAAGTATTCCACCGGCGAAGGTAAACATACAGACAAAACATATAATAATATTATGTATTGCAAATAATGGATTTAATTCAATTATTGTCCAAGCTACTTACTTATTTATTAACAACTTTACACTAAAGTAATATGAACAATTTATGTAAATGGATCAAACTTTTGCAAGAACCATAAACATATAAAAATATAATACTCTGATTACTTTACTGTAGAGTCATCTGTGTTGCTAGTACCTACTAAAAATGGCTTTTAGCAAACACTTCTATTACTTTACAAGCTGTTCAAAATCTAGTAATATCATCAAAATGTAAATAGGTGCTATTTTGTATTTTGCAAAAATTCGTCATCGAAAACATGACTTCTTGGCATTATATCATTGGTTCCTCTAATTTATAGTTGTGTTCGACTACGCGACGCAAAACGTTAAACAGAATATCACTGCTGATCGAGACTAAATAAAAAATACAGTTAATTAACCCAAAATAATTTGAAATCACTTTAAAAATAACATTTTATCGATTGTGTATATATTTATACAGCCCTCGCGAACGCAATTCCAACGGAGGTGCGAATATTACCATATTTTTCTTTTCGAAATAGCTTTGTCTAAATTTGACTGTTTTGAAATCTATCCTATTCTAAATAATTAAATAAACTACAACAACCAACACCGTTGTTCAAATATGTAAATAATAACAAGGATATAAAAATAATCATAAACCAATAAAACGTATTTATATATATGGGTAAGGTTATGCGGTCGCTTCCCAGCACCTTAGTGAACCAATTTTTCATTATTGAAAAGCTTGTCTAATAATATACATAGAAGTCTTTGCTTTTTAGTAATTATAATATGTACATAAGATGAATAGCTCAAAATTGTCCATTTGTGTATTTTTTTTATATAAATAAAGAAATTAGGAAAGCAAACGCTTTGACTAACACAAGCTTTTGAAAATAAATAATACATCTAATATATATTTTAAAAGCTTGAGTTGGCTCTCAATTATATTGCTTCGATCAAAATAAGCTATTCCTACTAAACATTCAGTGATAATTATGAAATGTTATTAACTCACACATACATACGTAGCAACAATTCATGACAATAATTAAAACTTACCTAATGGTTAAGATTATTCTAATGGTATTAGAAGCATTGAGACCAAAATAACCTTCAAAAGATTTTTTGGCTATAATGAGTGAAATATTCACGGTATCTAGCTACTAACATTAAGCTGGTAAAAGATATCTACTTCGCAATGTAATTATTTATGCAAAAAAACCACCAATAAGATAGAAAACAAACTTTTACGCTATCTATAAAATGTTGCTGGAATTTCCTATATAATTTAGTTACTAGCGAAAGTAAATATTTTAATACTGCTGAAAATAATTGTGTATATTACTTAAGGATACTAATACCTGCGCATTTATATGTTTAATAGTAATTCTTGTTATTAAAATATGAAATGCGATGAAAATAGGTACCCTGACACCCAAACTAACTTAAAATATGTAACTATTTAAGAAGACATCGATATATATCTAAAACATACTTAAAAACTTTAAAGCTAGCAGAAGGGAACGCTAGCAAGATAATAAAGTTGGAGAATAATCATATTCATAATATTACATAAATAACTTTTGTTTTTGGATTATCTTAACTCTCTAATCGGCGAGGTAGGTTAAATTGCTATCAGACATAATCTTAATCAGGCATACAAATCAAGTGCCTGGTAATAAAACATTTTATAACCAAAACAGACAATTAGCAAATTCAAAGATCTGATATCGATTTATTTAAGAACTCAAACAGAATGTTAGATCCTGCAAGTTAGGTTTAAGGGTCGGGGTTCGCATGTGAGCGATCCGGGTGTTACAGCGCGCAGTGTCAGCGAGGAGTTCAGCTCGGGCTGCGAGGGGCGGTCGGGCTCCGGCGGCGGCTCCACGGGAGCGCCCGCCGATCAGGACCACAAGCCTGATCACAAACAGCATAGGGACCGGACGCCTGATGACAGGGACGAAGGTGACCACTTCACAACTTATTGTAGTGATATAACAACGTTATTTTAATATGAGTAATTGTATCGGGCTTAGACTATCAAATTGGCGTAAAATCAATCCCTTTTTTTTAATATAATAATAATAATAAACTTTATTTGTTCTCTCACACAGATTTCACAGTTTAGTAACCTCTTTAAAAATTAATTAGAACAATTTTATAATCTTTGCGAGAGACTGGTATCTGTACTAGTAGAAATATATGACAGATAACTAGTCTCTCCAGTCCTGAACCAGGCGGAAATTATAATGAGGTACCAGTAATATATTATATAAAAAGTAATAAAAGAAATTGTGGCGTGCGAAATGAGTGTAAAATATGTCATGTATGTTATGTAATCCATTGATCAGATTGATGTCGGATTGATCATGTGATGTGTTGGTAGATGCCAGATTGAAATGGATCACATATTTATAGGGAATTTGATGTTTATCATCAATCCACAACTTTGATCTGATCGTCTAATGGCCGGCATACACTATTGTTTAGTACAACACAGTATTTCCACGTGGCCAAATGATTATATCAAAAATATTAGTGGAAAAATTCTGTAAATCTAATATTTAACATGAATAAGTAAAAATCTATAAAGTTGATATAATAATAATAAGAACTTAATCAATAATACTGCTTCAATGATGTTTCCATCTCCAATAATATCTAAGGTATCTCAATATAAGGCCAAGGTGCCTTTTGCCAGCTGAGATCAATATAAAAATACGCAAACTACCACCACCATATCATTGCCTCAAAAACTACGAATATTGTTCCATGCCGAATCATTGAAAGCCGCGAAAAAGTATCACATTGAACTGAAATCTCAACAGAAGTAGTGAAGGTTTACGACGGCGAGGCGGCGTGGTCCCGTCGACTGTACCGGCCCGTCGTGGTGGGGCGCAACTGGAACGAACGCGAGCTGGTGTCGGCCGCCCTGCGAGCGTTCCACGTGGCTCGCGACCCTGACCTGTTCGAGCTGACAGATGCGCTGGCTGGCGATGAACCGCCTCTGCGCGACCCCTCGCCGCTCGCGCGGGTCACGCGCCTGCCCAACAAGAGGCCAGCGCTGTTCCTCCGATTCAAGTGAGCAAACTAGCAATTTTGGTTGTTCCATTAGCGAGTCAACAAATGAAGCCAACTCTAATTGTTATAAGACCTTAAAAATTGTCACAAACAAAATACTCAAACGGTCTTATTAATAAACAAGGTTTAGCGTTGGAGTAAATTTACGCTGAGACTGCAATTAGTATTAGTCAAAATTTATATTATTAAAAAGAGACTTGGCAATGGTTAACCTAGTACGAGGTTCTATGGGAGTAATATTTACTCAGAGAATGCAGTAGGTTTGCTTATTCTCTGTATAATATGAATTTGGATTAATACTTAAATTGCAATTTTAGGGTAAATTTACTCTGATGCCAAACCTTTTTTATTAATAGCACTGTTGAAGACTTTTTATAGATTTTTGTTCCATAAACCGTCCCTATATTGCTAGTGTAAGTGTCCGCCTTGTTTCGGAAATTTCACAGTGTTTAATATTTTGGGTCTCTAATCTAATAAGGTTCGAAAAAGAAGAACCTCTGATTCATTATTAAAAGGATATTTACAAATTCCGTTCCTACACCAACAAAGTAAGTTTTCAAATTAAAATTTCCTTTCCAAGCTTGTTACATAACACACTTTATATACATAAATTCCAATAATTATTCACACACACGTAGGCTAAAAGAATTATAGATTCTTCACGCCAAGTACATTACAAGCAGAAATAATTATTCAGAATTTCTTATGTCTGCTTCGAGGGGCACCGCAGAATCCTTACTAACAAAATATCCTAGTTTTATCTCCAGAGGACAGGTCCCCTTGGAAAAGATCGTGTCCTTCGGATTGTTCAGACAGTTCAATAATTTTGTCAGCGTAGGCGTACTTCCAGGTTGTGAAACATGTATCTTCTCAGGGAACAAGAGAATGGGGGCGGGGAAGTACGAGTGTATCCCGGACGAGTGGCGGGCGCGGGCGAAACATTCGTGACGGTGGAGTGCCACGGCGACGACGCCGTCACCGACCTGATGGCGGCCGCGCTCGAGAGGTTCGGCCTCGACCCGACCACCGCAGCCAACGACTATCGCTGTTCCGAGATACTGCTCGATCGGGGTGGTAAGGAGCTCATTCTCTTTTACAAGAGTATCGATTTAATTATAAATCGAATAGGGAGAAAGGTCATTGGCCCACCTCACGGGTTCAGTACGGATTGGTGGTATTTAATTACTGCAGTTAAAGCTGGCATCAACGGCTAAACGTGCCATGCATAGAACAGAGGAGCTGGAGATTATGAATTTTTGATCATCCATCTTATAACCGTATGGATCGAGCTAACATACATACATTTACTGTGAAGTCATTACTTATAAGTAGACAAGTAACGCAAATAACAAACTCGGTAAAGTTCGAATGTTGTAAACCCGAACCCCCTGCAATACTATGCTGTTAAAAAACAGCGTCGAACCCGAATTTGAAGTACAGCGCTATCAAACATAACTTAACATACAGCTTTAATACAATAAAACCTTTTCAAGTATATATTTGATCGAACCTTCATGCTCTGACAGCGAAACTCTTCGTCGAGTTCCAGCCTGTTTTATAATAGCACTGCTGATTCTAATACGTGCATGTAGTATCGGAGCGGGTACTAGAGGAGGATGAGCGACCGTGGCGAATTGTCGTACGGTTGGCGCGCGAGTCAGTACGGCGCATGGAGCTGGCCCGCTTCTACCTGCAGCCGCGCCGCGACCCTCACGGACCTACGCTCGCGCTGTTCGTGGCATCACTACCGCCAGGACTATCAGAGAGGAACTACGAGAACATTCTAGTCGAGTTCCTCGGAACAGGTGACTTTAACATACTTTAACGCGTCTCCCGAGTCAGTTTATTGTTTTCTCTGTACGAGCAACTTATTTTGTACTTTTTCTGCTACTATCAGAGAATAAGTTCACATCAATCGGACCTATATATTACGAGTACGGGTCGATGGTGATCACCTATGAAGATGCCAGTAAGGCAGTGAGAGCGCTTTACGCGCTGAGAGAGGCCAAATATGAAGAAAAACCATTATTAGGTATGTGCACAAATATTATAAAAATATTCTTTTATTTTCCATAAAATATGACTACTATCAAAGGCCAATTAGACATATACCAAATTTAAGCCCTAAGCTTTACCTTTTGCGTCTCGTTCCATCAACTTTTCTCTATCCAGAAGGCCTACTCTGTTTCTCCGAAAACAAAATTTCGTCTATTTTCAGAACGCTAATACAAGTTAAAAAAAAAACGCATTTTTCGATAACTGCATGATGATGCAACAGAGGTAGGACCTGACTCTGCCTCTGATGCACAGATAATCTACATAGTTTATTTTAACAAAAGTATAAGAAGAATTTGAAATTTCCCGAATTTTCGTTCGTGGACGAACAGAGTACGCCCCCAGTATTGAACATATGCCAACCTCTAATACCGACTTCCATTAACTTGATCTGCAGATTGTCTCATGCGCCTAAGATTTCCCGGCTACTTGTAAAACGTGTCATTTACAAAAGTCAATTCTATAAAACGTGGATGTGTTTTCTGGTAGTGATGTTACTACCGAGCATCGAACCGTCGATGGTGCCGACGGGCGTGAAGCCGCTGCTGGTGTTCGTGAACGTTAAGTCGGGCGGCTGCCAGGGGCTGGAACTGATCTCCTCTTTCCGGAAGCTACTCAACCCCTACCAGGTGTTCGACTTGGAGAACGGAGGCCCGCTACCCGGGTACGATATATTAAAAATACTACAAAAGACACATTAGAAGTTCTCGAATGACTGCGCAGAGAACAATCACATCTAATTCAGAGAACACCTATCTGAAGACATCTTATCGTGGAAATAAAATGATGAAATTGAATATAAATGTTCACTGTGAATATTGCTATTGATATACAGTTTTAGTTTTTTCTATGTATTTGAAAGGGTAGATTCATACTCATGACCTTAGATTGAAGTGTAAACTTGGGCACCTTTTAGACGTCACCTAATGCGTAAAACACAAAGATTAGGTAATGATTCTTTAATTCTTAAAATTTGATACGATCAAGTTTACACACGACCCTAAAACCCTTCTGCGCTCTTGGTTGGAATAAGACAACCAACTTATCATGCATAATGGATCGAGACAACGTGTAAATGTAGGAAATAGGAGCCATCTAACTTATGTGTTTACATTGTTTTTCCTATAACAGATTGTACGTATTTCGTCACATTCCCAACTACAAGATCCTAGTGTGCGGTGGGGATGGTACCATCGGCTGGGTCCTACAGTGTCTGGATAACGTCGGCCAAGACTCGCAGTGTTCCAACCCGCCCTGCGCCATCGTACCGCTCGGAACAGGTATTATAACAACGCCTTGTTTTTATACGAGATATTTTCGTCTAGTGAGGCCTGATGATAATGACTGAGTGCTAAAAGCCAATCTTAAAAACCACTTAATTACAATATTCCATTCTTTTTTTATCAGTCGGTGCGGGACTATAACCAAGACGTGTCAAAAACAGTGGTCAAACTCATACCTTTGTAAAAATACAGACTTCAGACGTCAGACTTGTCTTGGAATTCAATCCAAAAACCTTCGTTTATGTTTAAAAAAGTTTCTACGTGTGTGTGTACAACAGGATTCCTAACTAATTTTAGAATGGACTAAGCGCTATTAGACCATTAGAACAAGAATGTATTAATGAAACAAATGTCATTACACGAAAACACTTAAAACATACAGAAATAACAAAAACTATTGAGGAACAAAATTTCCAACTCTAAACATTTAATTCTTAAAACTCTATCTATACAAATATATATAAAAAAATATTCAAAAATCTCAAATATAACCGAAGGCATCATAGACCCGTTAATATCAACACCATTCATCTTGTTACAAGGTATTAACAATATAATTAGAACATTTCTGATAATCTTTTTAAGCAAATCTATAAATTATATGAGACAGAGAACCAATTATGATTTAAGTAGAATAAACTGGGTGATGTGTGGATATATTTAGGTAACGACCTGGCCCGCGTGCTGCGCTGGGGCTCGGGCTACACTGGTTGCGAGGATCCGCTGTCATTGCTGCGTGACGTCATCGACGCCGAGGAGATCCGCCTCGACCGCTGGACCGTTGTCTTCCACCCGGAGGACAAGCAGGATGAGCCCAAGGAACTCTCCAAACAACTGCCAGGTATCGTCACCGCAGGGTTAAGTCGAAACTTTCCAACAGCGCATATATTCGACTTTACACTTCTTTTTAATTTGGCGCTCAACGTGGGACTGTGATTTGAACTATATGCGATGTAAAATATGTACAAGTATCATTTTCACCGTTAGTTTCACAAACTTCCATTAATGGTTTAATGACGCCTTTAAGCTCTAATGAATGTCAAATTTGTATTGGTAATGTCGCTAAAACTAAATGGTTCGTAACAACATATGCAAAATAATTAAATCTATATACTACGGCATTTTATGAAATTCAACCCCAATGAGGTAGATTAGGGGATGAAATTTTGTATGAAACTTCATTACTACAAGTGCTAGGAGTTTCAAATATTGCATGCGGGTTCTTTTTAGGACGTAGGTGCTGGCTAAGACGGGACTTTATGAAATTCAGTCCCTAAGGGGATAAATTAGGTATGAAAGTTTCTATGAATCTTCGTGACTACAAATACAAGGAGTTTCAAATTTTGCAAGCGGGTTCTTTTTAGGACATAGGTGCTCACTATGGCGAGATCTTACGAAAGATTTTATGAAATTCAACCCCTAAGGGGATAAATTAGGGGATGAAAGTTTTTATGGAATTATCTCATTTCTGGACTTAAAACTAGATCACGCGGACGAAGCCGCTGGTTGAAGGCTAGTGATTTATAAAAATCACATAACAAACTTACATTTTAAATCGAATCTTTACTATTTCATAAGTTTCATGATCCATTAAGTGTACACCATCAACTTCATATCGTCCACGAGATCTGTGACCATCTGCTCACATTACAGCGTCTGTGACTACAGGGTCGCAGAGCGAGGACAACTCGCAGATCCTCGTGATGAACAACTACTTCGGCATCGGCATCGACGCCGACCTCTGTCTGGACTTTCACAACGCTAGAGAGGAGAACCCGAACAAGTTTAATAGCAGGTATCTACTTATTTAATTGCTTTTGCCAATGATTCTGCTACTTCATACTATGTTCAATTACAACCTTTTTTAAATAATAAATTGCAGCGAGCTGATATGAAAGTGAAAATCGGTTATATCAGAGAATACTTGCATGTTAAAAGTAAAATAAATAGTAACATAAAAAAACGTAACGCTCGCAGTCCGATATTAAAGTCTCCGTAATTAAAGAGATAAGAACGAAAATGCATTATAGCAACACTATCTTTTTTCAGATTTCGTCCTACTTTTTTATGTCAGTTAATATCTTACAATTCCATTAGAGTACTGGGTATTATTTCCTTATAATCTTCACGTTGTCTGGAATTGTGATTTACAGATTACGCAATAAAGGTGTGTACGTAAAAATGGGTCTTCGCAAGATGGTGGGCAGAAAGATGTGCAAGGACCTACACAAAGCCGTCAAGCTTGAAGTGGACGGGAAACCGGTCGACTTGCCTGCCGTCGAGGGCATTATCATATTGAATATACTCAGGTAATTTCTGAAAACTTTTTTTAACGAATATGCGAGGAAACAACCCAAAGACCTCCTCTACCTAAACCAAACTTCTTAAACCTATTTTTCCATTATCAGAAGCCAAAACCAATATATCAAAATTTAAACCTTATTAGAAGGTAAATTAGGGTGCATATACCAAAAACACGTTACCTTAGAGTAATTCCACAAAGTACTGTTCCCCTAAGCATCATACGGATAACTTTTAATTAGGTACCTGTCTAATGTAAACCTCTTCATGTTACTTGGGGGTATATGGTGTAACTTTTGATTTAATGATAGACATAATGTTTATTTATTGTTAAATTTGCTTTTATTAATCCATCGGGTGTATTATTAATTTAGTCGTACATCTATGCCTGGCGATCGATTAGGAAGTATAAGTAATAACCGCATAATTATAGAAAGAAAGAAAAATAATTTATTGCTAGCACACAACAAGAACACAAAATATTAAGTAAAAATAAAAACTAAAACATTTAAAACACCAACTGTTAACGTGTATGCCATGTGATGCCTACACTGGACCCAGCTCAGTATAAGCAGCAGGTAGTACCAGCTGTACTGGTATTCTGCTGAATCCAGTTGTGACACCACGAACAATAACAAAAAAAAATAGCCGAAAACAGTTCAATGATGTTCAATTGGTAATGTCCGGGATTCATTAAGCTAGTTTTTCAAGCCTCGATAGCACCTGTATGTACTCAAAACTTCTGAAACGTCTAATTCCCCAAATGTCGCAATCTAGTACCTATCACAATGAGTTTGTTCAATATTATCATCATTATCAAAGATCTTAAGGATGGTAAAGGAGGATGGGCCAGGACCCTCCACGCTAGCCTATTGCGGATTGGAGGGTATTAACGACTGCAAGTGCAGCCGGGAAATTACTCATACGTTGAATGTACTAAGTAATAATATGTAGGAAGCTTTTTGAATAAGTCCTCATAGCCTGTCCTAAAAATATTAGCAATATTAACAACCTTGCTACATAATAAATATGTGTACTGAACAACCTATCATAGATACTAGATTGGAAATTTAGTATTTCAGGAGTTGTACGTTTTGGGATTCGGACATTTCGGAAATCAAATATTTTAGGAACTGGACATTTCGGAAATTGGATATTTTGAAACCGTTGGACATATCGCGAATCGGACATGCAGAACATAAAGATCCTAAATAATCTGTCGAATTGACAGATCAACTGTCAGCAGACCAATCAGGATTCCAGTCCAAGCCTATACCAATTATGTTCTGCTAACAGTTGATCTGACTCAGTCGAGTAATAGAGCCGCTGCTATACTCGGCGTAAAACGTTCTATATTATCAGCTGGGGCTCCGGTGCGAACCCGTGGGGTCCCGAGAAGGACGACCAGTTCAACAAGCCGAACCATTGGGACGGTATGCTGGAGGTGGTGGGCGTTACGGGCGTCGTGCACCTCGGACAGATACAGTCCGGTCTCAGGGGCGCCATGCGGATAGCTCAGGTATAACAACGATTCATCACCATCCAACAATAAACTCATTTTGTAGGGGGAATGCATGCACTGTCCCTGCCGTTTGACAGGCGGCATTCAGACGGACTCGCCTGAAAATTCACCGAATCGTGGATGACATGACCACTAAATCCCCTGCGATGCACTCTTAATTTTGGGGGAAGTGCCTGGCCTCTATACCCAGCACCTGTTACTAGCCTTATTTTTAAATATTGATGTAACCTATTTCGGTAAATAGAAACTATAAAACAAATACTTTTCGATTAAACAAGATGCTATTGGACTTGAGATCTGAGCAATTAGTTGTTCACGCCTAAAATATCTTACCATCTTTTTTTTTTTAATTTTATCTACTAACAACTCGATTCGATACGATAATTCAACCAAGTATTTTAACCGAGTCCAATTGAGAACAAGTTCTTAATAATAAAAAAGGTCGTGGGTTCGAATCCCATCTCAGAATACCAGGGACAAAGTGGATTTTTTAAGCATTTTACTTGGATCAATTTGCAACTTTGGTTGCCTAAATAAAATTGAACATATGTACTTGACATATTTTTGATCAATCCAATAATTATAAAGCAGACTGTACATCAGATGACGCTGCATCTGAAAAATAACCCGTGCATTAAACTGTCGTTCTCTGTGAATAACTTCAGGGTGGGCACATCAAGATAAATCTGAAGAGCGAGATACCTGTGCAAGTGGACGGTGAACCGTGGGTGGCGGCGCCTAGCGAGGTGGTGGTACTAAAGTCTGCGTTGAAGGTAACCTAACCTAACCTAACCTAACCTTACCCGTGTACGTGTTTGCATGTGCTCGCTTCTATTATCACATCGGTCCAATTGATACCTAACTACTTACCTGAGACAAACTCCGCTCGATCTATAACATATTATAATTCTCTCGGTAGTTATTTACTATTAGATATAGAATTCTTTAATGCTTGAATACACTAGCACGCTATGTTAAAAGACCAATTACCATCGCCTAGGGACATCCTTACTGGCTTATGAACGTAAGAGCAAATGATACAATTTTATCTTACGGCAATATAATACAGCATTTCTCAAAATGAACTCCGCAAATCATTGTTCAATATGCAAATCAAATCACTGTGTTAAAGTAAAATATTAATATAATTCATTATTAATATTTCATATTAAAATAAACAGAACAATTGACTAAGTTTTCTTCTTATAATAAATTACACGAATAATTATCAATAGTGATGCCCTTGCTGCGGTAGTACCTACGGTAATGCTTGATACTTGAATATTTAGCTTTGATTACACGATCAAGACCATCATATGATTGTTAACTATTGCTGACGCTCACGGGAACTCTTGTTCCAATTAAAACAATCCAAAGATACCTAAGCCTGTAATTTTTAACTCATCGTACGACAAAATCGCATCGTTTGCTCATACGATTGTAGCCAATGTGGACGACACTTTATATCGAAACCGTTTAGAAGTTCCATCGTTTGATCGAGGGGAAGTCTGTGAGTTGATAATTAAATTTATTCAAAATTCCCGAGTCACGTAACGCCCGAGCACTCAAACTCCACGCAGCACCAATATCCACGGTACCGAGCCGCGCGCCCGCCGCCCGACCGGACGGTGCACGTGCGGTGGCCGCGCGGTAACGGCCGGACGGTAGCAAATACTACGAAATATTATAAACTTTAACGATGCGACACGTACTATACGACTCTTCGAGCATACGGACGGGTCGTCGCACGATTACAAAAACATAGCGCTATGCGGATCGGCCGTCTTCGTTTGTGATTAAGTTTTCAATACAGATAATTTTTTGAGTAGAAGTTAATAAATAAAAAAATATCAATATTAAAATAAATAAAAGGTTAAGTCACCATAGCGAAGCATTTATTACATAATTTTAAAAATACAGAAATAATCGGAGGGTAGATATGAGATTGCCTCTGTCATTCCTCTGACGATCAATCTAGCGACGACGAGTATATTGTCAAATTCAAGTCAATTCGATTGTAAATATCTCAATCATATCAATGAGAATACACATCGCTATTTACGTGGGCGACTCGAAACCGGCCGGTCTGCTATCGCGAACGGCGACGACCCTCCAGAGTAGGCGGCCGCGGGGGTGAGCGCGGGCGCGGGGGGCGGGAAGGTGTGGGCGCGCGGGCTAGCGCGGGTGAGCGGGGGGCGGAGTGTGGGCGGTGACCGGGCGCATGTGTGTGTTCAGGCGACGATGCTGAAGAAAAGCAAGCGCGGGTCCGGGTCCGGCGGCGCCGCGGCGGGCCCGTGACGGCGCCGCGCCCCGCTCACCCGCGCGTGTCGCGCTGTGCAGGCCACCATGCTCAAGAAGCGCGGCAAGGTGCGGCGGCGCAACACCGAGCCGGCGCTGGCGCACGCGCCGCCGCTGCCGCCGCTGCCGCCGCCGCCGCCGCCGCCGCCGCCGCCGCCGGACTCCTGAATCTGGCTCAGCGAGCGCCTCATCTAAGCTGCGCCGCCTCGGGCTCAAGGCGCGCGCCGCCGGCGCTCGCTCGCCGCACACGGAAGTGTAAATAAATTATTAAAACGGAAATAATATATAACTTATAATAAAAAATAAATTTATAGTCATTAGTTGTTGTTTTATTTTTAGTCTGATATGATTTTTGAAATGTGTAAAAATAATAAATTTATGAGATATGTAAAATCATTTTGCGTTTCATTTGTAGCTTTAAACCCTTCTCGTGAGAGACGACGGATCAATAGAATACGTTCAAAAATAGTTATCTGGAATCCGTCAAGTATAAAAATATTTGAAAACTGTCAAATAAAAAAAAAATAATAATAAATAAAAAAATATGTCTTTCAATATTTGCAATGGGTATAGGGTTGTTATGCGGTATAGTGTAGTTCTTATTATTGAATAATATATATAAAACAATCGATACCGTACACAGTATAATTTACTAACCAAAACTATAATGATTTTGATAATAACTATGGTAAAATGTCTACTTGCGTGTCGCGGTTGTCGTATAATTTTGGAATTAATTATAAACGTCCTCGATATTAACCTAAAAGCATCACAAAACTGCTCGAGTACTGCGACCTTCGAGTAATGAACGCTGAACTAAATTCACAGACATCTACTTTTAGGTATATTTTTTTTCTAAAATTTTTCATGATAAAATCTAAAATATAGCTCGTAGGGTTCAATTTACGAAATATAATTATCTAAAAAAATATTTTAAAAAGTATTATTCATATAATAAGTTAAAATCTAAAAATAAATTTTATTTTAAGAATTTCCCGCGAAAAGGCTACTTCTGTCATGGCATCGCTATGACGTCACGGCCCTCTGAAACTAATATCATTCTATGTATGCATAAGGTCGAATTCTCTAAGTTATGATATGAGTAAGAGGGGCATGACGTCACGCGCTGTTTGCGGTATAAAATATTTGTTATTTCATAATCAATTTAAGCAATATTATAAATTTAAGTGCGATTATCGATAATAGTATATTAAACACTGCCAGTTTTTTTTAATGTAATTATTATCGTTTACTGTGTCGTACTCGTTCGTCCATCAACATCTATACTATATAATAAACAGATTTGATTGTTTTATCTCTGAACTACTGGACCGATTTTTAAAATTCTTTCACCTACGGGCAGCTGCATTATATGCGGGTAACAAAGGCTAAAATTTACGCAGAGGAAGTCACGCAAGTATTAAATAATTTTGCACAACATAAAATTAATGAAATAATATAGACATGGAGAGGACAGAGTATGCTAATACGAGTATATACCTACAATGCTGAAAAATTTATACATAGCAGGGTTCACAAAAATCCGATATTTGATTTTAAGCATATGAAAACCTGTGATTTTTGAGCAGCTTTTAAAACAAAAGTGTAAAATGAAGATTGAGTTATTTAATATTTGTTCATTTAGTATAAATTAATTAAAAAATGTAAAATAAAATAAAAATAAGTAAATTTCCATTAAAGTATAGAGGAAAACCCGAAATTTCTAGTAAGTAAGATTGCTACTTCTACCAAGGTTACAGGTTGGTTAATATTGTTGCTGAGACTAAATACTTAAACTAACAATAAATATTATATAATATAATAATTTAAAATATTATAAATTATTAAATATAATATTTATTATTAATCTATACTGATATTATAAAGCTGAAGAGTTTGTTTGTTTGTTTGTTTGAACGCGCTAACCTCAGGAACTGCTGGTTCGAATTGAAAAATTATTTTTGTGTTGAATAGACCATTTATCGTGAAGGCCTTAGGCTATATAACATCACGCTGCAACTATTAGGAGCGAAGAAATAATGGAAAACGCGGACGAAGTCGCTGGCGGCCACTGTATTATATCCCTTTTGATGGGTCGTAATTTATGCGAGCGTAGTCGCAAAAAAACTTCTAGTAATAATTTTTTTTTTATTTAAAGACGTCAGTAACTAGACAAAGTATGCGTTCTGTGTACAAAAATGACCTGTAGGCCAAAAACATGTAGTATCGATTAGTGTGGCAACATAACCCTCTTGAATTTTGAAACGATTTCTTGAGCTATCTAGTACCTTATTTAGCAGACTGCTACGAAATGGGGACAACTAGCTAAGTTATAAAGTTACGAAGGTAAACGGGTCTTTGTGGCGCTGCTAGGCTAACGTCAGTCCGGCGGCGCCAAAGCTAGAACTCTGCATTTATAATGAATTTTAATCTTAATCACCTTTTAATTCTCTATTTCTCAGTCTGGGGCATAATGATGTCATCAGTAACTCGCTTAACTAAATATTTATAGAGATAAATAACAAAACTTTGTAGCACTGCTGGGCTGACGTGAGTACAGCAGCGTCACGTTATATTTTCTAAACCATAGCACTTAAGTAGCTCATTCTTTTAATAATAGGTTTTAAAAAGAATTAATTTTTGTTCATATAACATGAATCCTGGGAGTATTCAGCACTAGGATAGAGCAATACTGTTATATAACAGACTATAACAATGTGGCAAAACAGAGTATCAATAAAAGAGAAAATATTGAATGAAAATATTTTTATTTTCCATTAGCTTAACATTACAATAACAAAGCAACGCCAAAAGACTTTGTCTTTCAAAATATAAGCTTAATAACATCAAAATATCTACAGAAGGACTTAAAAACATATTTAACAAAAAAGTATAGCTTGACAACTTAACTGTGGTCACATGTATTTGAAAAATATTTACCTAGAATAAAACATAATTACTCAAGGGATTCCAATAAACCAAAATTTCTGTTCTTTAATATGAATTTATTTATTCTAATAGTATAAAAAAAAACTTATTTTCTTAATTTATTTACAATCCAGAAAATATTATTAACAGCTTTTTTGTTACTTTTAAATATCAGAAGTATAAAAATATGATCAATTTTAATACATACATTCACAAGATTGAATCAAGCCCTTGTACGACTGAATGAAAACACATATTATTATTTTCAAATTTCAACTAAACAGTAACAAACTATCAAGGACTTGTTCTATGTAATTGACAGAGATTATGTATACAAGAAACTCGTCCCAATTGTATTAGTTATTTATAGTCCTACATATATATAGCCCTACATATACTACATATTTATGGTCCTACATATATATTTATTACCTTATAACCGTTATCGGAGGTGCAATTAAGTAGCTAGCCGTAGCCGTTCTAAGAGATGGCTAAATGATCTTGATAGTGATAATTAGTTATTTATATAGACACAAATTTATAATTATTTAGTTTATAATTTATATATTTTTTTACTCAACTGTAAAAACGACTATATTGCACCTCCAATAACGAGGTCTACTTGTGCTTTAGGAAAAAAAATGGAATCATAGTGTCAATCATTGAATTCATTTGCGATTTTACAGTATGCGGGATCAAACATTTTATTGAATATGAAACATGTTTGCACTCTATCAATTAACAGTATTCAAAGTCAAGTTGTCAAGTAATAGTACCGCTAAAATGTCGAAAAATACTTCCGCATAAATGGAATTTATTTATTTACATACAATTATTAATTATTATTAAGATTAATAAAGTCTAATAAATATTAACTCAAACACATCACAGTAGCGAGAAAACGGCGAAATGTTAAAATATATTCTAAAAAACTCACAAGCCTTAAAAATATTGCTTCAATATATGCTTATATTATTTAGGGGGTTAATATAAATTTATTTTTAAGCCAAATGTTTTAAACAAAGACTGATTTAATATTTTTTTATGTTCTTTAATCAACTTATTTGTAATTGTACTCCATAAGTATAGCCATTTTGGTGTCCTATAAAAATCCACTTACATACCTAACTACAAAGTAAATTAATTCCTTTTTAAATATAAATCAAAATTAAAAAATTAATGGCCTATTTGCATCTATACAATTCCGCCAATGTCACTTTTGTGGTCTTTACACGTAAAGAAACAATAATAAAGTATGTCAATTTTAAATTTTGGGGAAATAGATAAAACAATAAAAAAACTGAGCTATGATCAATCATTTTACACTAAAAAGTACAAGTATAAAGACAATTCGGATCAAAGAACAAGTATTTTGAAGGTAGTTACACTTTGATTAAGAGTATAACTACCTTCAAAACAAGAATAGAGATGAAGGTTGGCATATACCACCGGCTTGGGATCCAGTAATTAGTCAAAAAATAATCTCAATCCAGATCACACACTGCAAAGCCAAAAGCAATTTACTTTTCTTGTCATATTGTTTTGAACTGGTCTTCTCAGACAAAACTCACAAAGTTAGAACTGGTATATTACAGTAGCCAGGAGTAAATAACGTTGCCATATAAGTTGCCATATTTTTTGTATTGTGAACGTGTCCGATAGTATTGGTTTTTAAGGTAGCTATACTTTTACATTAAATGACAACCAACATCTTAGTATTACATTATGTATCATCTATGGTCTTACGTGAACACGGTACCTGTAAATGGTCCGAAAAGCTAATAAAACAAAATACAAACGCGATGTTACCGTTTAAAAGTTGTTTCATTTTTGAATAGTGCGCGTGCAAATATTAGAAATCAATCAACTATTCGTGTGAGCTTATTATTTATAAGTTAAAATCGGTTTTCTTTGCGCAAGCATCTCTTTATCCTAACAAAATTCTCTACAGTCGTATTATTGAATTAAAATATTATTGTTGAGTTACCATGTAACTCGTGAACTAAGCTAACTTAATAATATGACGACTTAGATGCACCATTTGTCAGTCAATATTACCTGAAAGAGAATAATTTAATTACAAACAATATATTCTAACTCGCTCTCCCTCCCCCCCTCTCCCTCTCCCCCTATCCCCCCCTCTCTCTCCATCCCCCCTCTCCCTCTCCCCCTATATCCCCCCTCTCTCTCCCTCAATCCCCTCCCCCTCTCTCCCTCATTCCCAACTCACCTATGAGTGTGTACAGAGCAGCGGCGCAGTAGTCTCGGCGGTGTATGTGCGCACGCGACTGAACGAGAACGGCGGAAACTTGTTCGGGGACAACTCGAACTGCGTCCACTGATCGCGACGTGAACACACAGAATAACGCCGCCACGACAATTGGAAGTTGCGGCGACCGCGCACGTTGCGGAGCTGCAACTCCTGTTAGAATATAAATTGCTTTTTTTTTTATCAAAACATTAAAGACAAATTAAAAAATAATAATAAATTAAAACTAGCTCTCCGCCAGCGGCTATGCCTGCGTGGCCCCTAGGGAACTATTTATTTGGATATCAATTCATAACATGACACAGAGGTAATTACAATGTCAAATTGAGTAGTAAACAATGGTTACTATGGTAACGTTTTAATTCCCTATACAAAATTCCAGAACCATTTTCATCCATTATTTGCTGTTTTTTTGGGATAAAATATAGTTTATATTCATCGCATATAATGTAGCACAATATATATTAAACGTATAACAATTTAAAGTAACAGAAAAAAACACTTTAAGATTTCTGTGATAAAAATTAGCCCAAGTCCATTCTCAAAGTCCATTATATATGTGTTAGTACACATTTTTTTTAAATTGGTTCTGAAGTTTATGCAAACGTAACAGACAGAGACAGAATTACATTCGCATTTATAATATTAGTTTGGATTAGCAATTACTGTTTGAAATTTCTCTTAAATGAAAATAACCTTAAAAATATTACAGTTCTCACGGTATTGATCAAAAAATTACATGATCAATAACGCTACCAGTTTTAAATGCCGCGGGCCGCAATAGATATTGTTAAGCATTCGCAGTGGTCGTTCACGGGATGGGTACTCCGTGGTCTCGGCTGCATTTGCGGGACGTTAATACACTCCAATCCGCATTAACCCGTGAAGGGTCACGGCCCATCCTCGTTAGCCATATAGGATAATGAAGACCTGAGCCCCTGCTGTGGGGACGTAAAAGGGCTAAACAAGCCATATAGGATAATGAAGACCTGAGCCCCTGCTGTGGGGACGTAAAAGGGCTAAACAGGTGAAAGTCTTACCATATGAAAAGTTTGTTCCTGCTGTTCGTGCGAGTCTTTGCGTCGCGACCGGAATCTCGTGTTCGACGCCTGCGCAGGCTTCTTATCGTTGCCAGTCTTTTTAATCACAATCACAACCTACACATAAAATATACAATCTGTCGACGAACTGTGACATTAGAACAATATTAGAATTATAAACAAACACGTGACAGGAGGGGGGGGAGGTGTTAAATCATGAATTTTGTGTGACGTAGTTTATGGACGGCCCCTAACTACTTTATACTATGTAGTGAATTGCGGCAATGCAAATTGTAAATAAGAAATCGATTTATGTGCAATAAACACACGGTTGTCACAGTTCACCGAAGAAGCCTTTTGAAACACCTCACCCTAACGCAACAATAGGGAATATTCACATTTTTAGAAAATGTTTTTTATGATAATTTACATCGATATATAACTGTAAAAAAATACCCGGCACCGAAAAACAAAAATTTTGTAACATTAATCATTAATGAAAATGAGTAATAGCTACGAGCAGTTTAAACACCGGAATTTTTGGCGCGCTTGTCGTAACGTCAAAGTACACGACTAGAGGTATGACACTTTAAATCAATATGGATTTTGAGTGATTGATTATTATTCATTTACCCAAATCAATTAACAATTAATCGATTTTTTAAAATATAATAGACTTTTTTAATAAATCATATAATTTACCAAATTGGTGAATTAAAAATAAAAAACTAAAACATCATTTAAATTGTAATCAGTTGTTTATTTTGCGACATAATACATTGAGGTTATTGCATCGATGTTAACTTTTTGTAACAACGACATCCCTATACGTGTACATTTTCGTCACATCCGCTTTGACAACTAGCATGGCGTTTAAACATTTTAAAGTTACCTCATTTATTTTGCACTTTTTAATAATTATTTTCTAGACGAAAACGAACTGATGTTGAAAAATATTTAGATAGACTTTATTCTAAAGCAATAACGATTGTAATAAAATATATTTTAACCCTTTTTTTAATCAGACGCATATACCCTATTCCTAGTATCCCGCTTTGAACCAGCGTCGTTCAACCACATCCCTGTGGAAATACATCCAGCGAGCTACAATTACCTTGTCCCCGACCAGCCAGTAGTGTCCGGGCGTAACACACACGATTATACACGGTTATCACATTTCCCCAAAGAAGCCTTTTGAAACACCTCACCCTGACGCAACAGTTCCTAGTATCCAGCACATCCCTGTGGATATACATCCAGCGAGCTACAATTACCTTGTCCCCGACCAGCCAGTAGTGTCCGGGCGTAACACACCCGATTATACACGGTTATCACATTTCCCCAAAGAAGCCTTTTGAAACCCCTCACTCTGTCCCAGCAGTTCCTGGTATCCAGCACACCCCTGTGGATATACATCCAGCGTGCTACAATTACCTTGTCCCCGACTAGCCGGTAGTGTCCGGGCGTAACACACACGGTTGTCACAGTTCACCGAAGAAGCCTTTTGAAACCCCTCACTCTGTCCCAACAGTTCCTGGTATCCAGCACATCCCTGTGGATATACATCCGTCGTGCTACAATTACCTTGTCCCCGACCAGCCGGTAGCGTCCGGGCGTAACACACACGATTGTCACAGTTCACCGAAGAAGCCTTTTGAAACACCTCACCCTGACGCAACAGTTCCTGGTATCCAGCACACCCCTGTGGACATACATCCGGCGTGCTACAATTACCTTGTCCCCGACCAGCCGGTAGTGCCCGGGCGTGACACCGGCGGCGCGCGGCACGCGGTGCCTCAGCTGCGCCACGCACGAGGCGGGCTCCTCCGCCGTGGTCCACATCAGCACCAGACCATCAGGGAAGAACCTGCCACACGATCACACTTTAACTGTAACACCGTCCGTCCCGAAATAAAACCGCAGTGATAGTGAAAACGAGTAACCGAGAAAGACGCGCCCGAAGTTTTTTTTTTATCTAATATCACTATTTATTATCAATTTTAAAATAATTCACAATTTTCAGGTTGACAACATGACAGATAAATTAATTACAGTCATTATAATATTTCATCCCTATTACTTTTACTGCATATTCAACAGTTTTTTTATTACATTAACTAACTAAAACGCATTAAGTACACTAAAATTGTTACCGCATATTATATGGTAATCACAGCGTATTCTTAGATAAATTTACTAATTTGGCGCATTAATTTTCAAAGAAACAAATAAGTTAAGCTTGTAAGGTTTGCATTGGGCTTTCAGACAATATGAAAACTCAAAAACGTCAATTTTGCTGTTACTGTGGTTTAGGCTCGGGAGAGCAATATAATAATGTCTTTATTCAGAGTAGCATTTTATTTAAATGTCAAATATACTATCAATTATTACTATTTCGTTATTTGATTTTTAACACCTTTGCTCGTAAAGCTGATGTAATTCCACCGGTTTTAAAAAGCGGGTCATAAAAACGCGTGTGTTACCAAAGCAAATAGTTAAGTTATAGTCCATACAAATTCCATACACAGTATTATTTGCCATTTCGCGCGCTGTTGCTATTCAAATTTCGAACTAATCGCCGCGCGGCGCCAGTCAGTAGGCTAAATTGGCGGGAAAGCAACAGTGTACATTGGCAGATTGAGTTAATTTAATGTTTTTTTTCCTGTTTCCTCGCAAATGTGTGAAAAAACGTCGTACGATATACGTGCGTATTGGTTATAACATGCTCGGCTCAATTACGCTGAAATTCCGCCTCGCATGTTATAACCATCATAACACACTAATATCGTAATGTACTATTAAACAATTATCCTATTTAGTAAAAAATTTTAACGTATGCTCATATATGTCGATATTGGACCATTTATGTCAATGCTCTCATATGCGAGATTTTTGGCATAGGACTCCCCCAATCTTTCTCATTTTTTTTTTCATATTAATCTAGTCCTTGTCCAACCTGCAATCTTTGCAAGTTCGTTTTCCCATCGTCTCGTGCGTTTCTTAGAGGTCTTATTCATAACCAACCTATTAATGTCCCCATTACTGCGGGATCGAATAGGGACATTACCCATCGCGCGGGCCCAATGCGGATTGGTGGGTATTAACGACTGCAGATGCAACGGCTTAACATGCCTTCCGAAATACGGAGAAGTTCGAGATAATACATTCTTGGTCACCCATCCTATGGCCATTGCGAAAGTGCACTAGCCATTGCGCCATCGAGCTTATTAGCAGAACCAGAAGCAGTACATGATTGATTATATCGTGTAAACCAACCTGAGGTATCGGTAGTAATCTATCAGGTACCAAGGCCTGTAGAACTGGTCCTGGAACGAGTTCTCACCGTGCCGCAAGTACGTGGTCTTAGATATATAACAGCCGTTCAACAACAGTCTCGGCCTCTCTATGTACATCTGTCGCCACGACGAGTGCCCGCTGGCCCTGGGGGTGCCACACTCGATGCCCCACGTTCTGTATAATAATAATAATCTTTATTTGCGAAAATATGGTGACAGGGTAGTTTTACGAAGTGCATTAAATTCAAAATACAATGACTTGTCCGATTTTATATAAAAAAAAAAAATTACATAAAAAAATCGACATAAAAGATACAATAGGTTCATATTATGATCAAAGGATTCACACAATAATTAAGAATGAGATTTATCTTGCAATAATTCATTAATTGAATAATAATTTTTGTCTATTAAATGATAAAAAGAAAAGTTGGATCAGAAATTTATTTTTTTCACTATATTTTTGGACGTTATGTATTAGTAGACGAGTTATTGATCACAACTGAAATTAAAATCTATTATTACCCATTACCACATGTTTAAACAAATAAAGCTTCTACATGTAATGTGTAGGGCCGCGTGTTTCACTCACCTGAGACAGAGTGAGCGCCATATATCTGCGTCTCGCGCGCACACGTACAGGCCGCGGCACGTGGCGGCCGCGCGCTCGAGGGAGGCCGCGTCGAGATCCGCGCTCACCACCCACCGGAGAATCAACAGCACCACCTCGTATGGCAACCACGACATGTGCGCGCTCTAGTTCACATACAAACCTCCTTATGTACATACCGATAAAGTCCAAAGTGAAAGTAAATTTAATGATCTAATAGGGATGATGACTATTTTTTGTTTGTTTGTCCGTCAGGTAGAGTGTTAAAAAATATTAAACAAGTATTTTTTTTTCCTAATAATAAAATTACGGCGTTGCATGGAGTTGAAATTTCGCATGACGTCACGTTATGGTACGTTTTCTACTCAACTGTGACGTAGCGAGCCACCACACCTCAACTTTAATGCCTGTTATCTAAGCTATTTCTTGTTAAATTGAAGTAAAAAAATATGTGCATCTAATTTTTTTCTATTATCTGACTGACGGACTAAATAGATTTGCATTTTTTTTACCCAGTCGTCATCCCTATTTCTCATGAAAATTTCTTGAAGGTACGGTCGGCCAAGAAAGTGGTCTACCAGTTTTGACAACATTTCCCGTGTCTTTAAAGCATCGCTAAAGGCGAATCTTAGAATTGCATACAAACAGTAAAAGAGATGCACAATGCTGACGTGTTGTCGTAGAGCATAAATGTTATTTTGACCTTTGCAGCCTATGCATTAGATAAAAATTTGCAACAACAAATAGTCTTCACAATATTTAATAAATTTAAAATTTAAGTAGGTCACTTCAAAGTGGAAACTATTTTGTTACGAAAACTCTTTTACTGAAAAAGAATATATCACTTGACAATTCATGTCAAATATTTTCTTGGCATTTTCCGTAAGTATTTTCCTAATTAATTTACACTACAATGCCCCGAAATTTATCCATTAACGAAAGAGCACAAATAATCGCATTACACAATGATGGTTTGAATATTAGTGAGATTTCTAGAGAATTAAATGTGTCGGTAAGTATTATTATGTCTGACGTGAGTTTAATGTAAAATCACAGACCAAGTCAGTGTAAAAAATTTTTTTTATTTTTTCTGTTCATATTTTATTTTTGATTATAGAGACAAGCTGTCCGTCTTTGGATAAGACGAGAAAGCGAGGAGGGGAATTTGAATGCTCGGAGTCGTAGCGGTCGTAGATCTGAAATATCAGATACTCAGCGAGTCTTCATGAGACGGAGTTAGGAGGAATCTGGCTTTATACCAACGCGTTATTTTGCCGACATATTTGACGTGACTCTCCAAACCATTAGAAACCATTTACATTACATGGGCTTTTACATCACAGGCGTTATGCAAAGAAAATTTATATGACTGACGCTCATAGAATGGCCAGATTAAATTTCGCCATAGAATATTTAGATTTTGATTGGAGTAACACTGTTTTCTGTGACGAGAAAACTTTTAAATCCAGTCAACACGGGCGTCTACACCTTTGGCGATTCAATAAAACGCGATACACGCAAAATCATGTCGTGCCAAATAGAGAAAAAGTACAAAGACAAACAACAGGAAATTCGACATTAAAAAAAATATTGTGTCCCACAACTGCACCAAATAGGTATCTAGCTCGGCATTTGTCGGTCTGTTTACTTTTCAGAAACAGACCGACGCCGATTTTCAGCTAGACACTATGTATTCACCACACGGACGCAGGGATGCAAGATAGATATACATAGATATTATGAAGTAAAATGGTATATCATCACCAGCCTTTTAACGTCCCCATTGCAGGGGCTCAGGCCTTCCTTAAGAATGGTTAAGGAGGATAGGCCATGGCCCTCCACGCGGGCCCAATGCGGATTGGAGGGTATTAACGACTGCAAATGCAGCCGAGACCAACGGCTTAACGTGCCTTCCGCAGCAAGGAGTAGCTCGAGATAATACTTTTTTTGGTCACCCATCCTGTGACCGACCTTTGCGAAAGTTGCTTAACGACTACGATCGCAAGCCGCGGCGCTTATCCACTACGCCACCGAGCTACTCGTAAAATGGTATATGAATATTAGTTAAAGAAAATTGAATAAAACATATAGACGATTCATCAGTTAGGGCCTCAACTTTAGGTAATAGCTAGCACACTACCAACTGGCTACCAAAGATCTACTTTCGTTGCATTATAAACTATCGAAAAATACGTTTCTAAGAGTTCGAAAATAGCATAAGCATTTCGAAATTAGACATAATTTGGTTTTCAGAGAAATAGAATAGGGCTTTAGATGTTATGTCAATCCATATGAGTGGTAAATATTGTAATTCCACAATGTATTTCGCTTCAAACATCAGTTGCAACCTACCTTAGTGGGGTACTGCATTTCACAGAGCACGCCCTTGCGTGCCGTGATCCGCTGCAATCGCGCCAATAAATCCTCCCCTTCCACCGCATCTTCGTCATCACTGTCTGGGTCTTCATTATTACGTACTACCTCTTCCAATACTGATTCCGCTGTTTAGACAAAAACAAAAATTTATTTGAGGTATCTCGCGTTCATCATTACCATCATACAAAGCGGGCAGATGACCCATAATACATACTAAAGTTTCAACAATACAGGCTTAAGGTTCAGTAGATATCTAACTGAAGACACATCACGTTTTGTCAATCACAGAATGTCAGAACTGTCAATTTATATGATATGAGAGTCAACATCCACACACTCGAGAGATTCCGTCGCGTATCAACAGATGCGTCCATAAGATGCTTCACGTATCATCTGTCAGATTCGCATCGAAGCTTTAACAGCACTTACCTTCTGGCGTTTCGCTTCGCAAGTCCGAGCTCTCGTATAGCCTTAGCTCAACGTCAGGCAGAATCTGCATAGCGCGTTTGTAATTCTGGATGGCTTCATACAGCTTGCCACCACGCTCCATCTCCACACCACGTAAAAATAACTCCTTCGCCTTCAAAATATGAAAGTCATATCAATAACAAAGTCTTACTATTATTAAAAATTCAGGAATTAATATTTATGATAATATAAAAATTTTACAAACTAATAATTTGTAGATAACTTCATTATTTATAGCTTTCAAATAATACTACCTTCTTTATCAATTAATACAACTTAGTTTGATAAAAAATACAGACATATAAAATTCGAAATTACTTTTTTGTATTACAAGTGAAAATTGTTCCGGTTCAAGTTGTCGAATAGCGAACCCGCAATTGCACAACACTCGACAAATTTGCGAAATAAAAATAATTAGACGTCAACTTAACCAAAATAGGTATTAAGTTCGAAAAACAGTTTAAAATTGTGCAGTGTAAGCAGTTTGTCTGGCCTAGTGACATAGAGAAATATAATATTACCAAAACTAGTGACTTGAAATTAAAGAAAACATCTGAGTAAAAGTTCCGACATTTGAGGTTATATCAAGCAAGTGTCACATCACCATAGACAAAAACTTGAAAGTTCGCTCGGAAACAACTACTTTTGCTCACCAGGGATACCAATACTAGAAAAATTCTACTATTAGCAGAAATCACAAAAGTATAGAATGGACGAACAAATGAAATTTCTGATGACTACAATGGAAAAGCAATTCCAGAAACAAACAATAAACATAACGCAAACAGTAATAGCGTCATTGTCTACAACTATAGATGAAAAATTAAAACCTCTCATTGAAGAAAATATAAAACTCAAAGAAAAAGTGGGAACATTAGAATCCAGGATAAGAAATTTAGAAAAAGATGCAAGGAAAAATAACATAGTTCGTCATGGCATACCAGAAGATGAAACAAACAACGAAAACCTCATGGGAATAACTATAAATATCCTCAATAAGTTGAGCAACGATGAGAACAGTATGAAGACTTGGGATGAATGGGAAGTAGGCAATGTGAGACGCATAGAGAAGAAAGGAAACAAAACGAGACCAATCTTAGTACACTTAACTCTTGCCTGGAGAAAAATGGAAGTATTGAGGAATAACAAACACTTTTCTAAAGATATATGCCACAGATGATTTCCCTAAAGAAGTCTTGGTAAAAAGGAGTATGCTCAAAACTCAGCTTAAAGAAGAAATAAACAAAGGAAAGGTGGCATATATTAAGTATGATAAACTGATAGTTAAAGACAAAGAGTTCAATACAGAAAAGAAGAAAAGATGAGGAGAGGAGAGGAAGAGGAGGATCTTCGAAATCACCTGGATTACTGGACCAGTAATTTACAGAAAGCACCAAACAAAATCAATAAAACCAAAGCATTTCAATATATGAGGAGCTCAGCAAACTCAAAACCTGGGAACAATACCAAAAACTAGCAACAAACGGACATCGGCAACTGGAAAAAAGAAAAGAACAGAAAAATATACACAGTGGCAATATATATCCCAACCCGGCTGGTCACCGTGGGACAATAAACCATAACCCTCCAGAAAATCAAAAGCAAAATCAGCAAAAGCAGAAACAAAAACAAAATCAGAAACCCATAAAAGCAACACCACAAATACCACCGTATTCACGCACCAAAATAAAAAACAAGGAAACCATACAGAGTGAAAATAAATTGTACAGTCGGCCAAGAAAGTGGTCTACCACCCTAAGGTTGAATTTCGCGTGTTACGTCAACTAACAACAAGGTTGATTTTCCGTAGCATTAATTTTTTGACACGTCAAGTACACGTCATTATTGCTATCTTCATCATTTTGACGTAACCTTTAACAGTAATTATATGAATTATCTATACCTATAATAAAAATGTAACAAGGTTACATTTGTAAGATATTTTGGAAAAAAAATATATGGACGGCCTTCATAAGACTAATAAAAGCCAAAAAAAAATTTTTTTCTGTCTGTCTGTTTGTATGTTTAAATACTTTAGAGTTAGAATATCGTAAATAAAGTCTTATAGTCTACAAATATCCTACATTAGAATGTAGATTAATTATATTTTAATACAAATAAAAAAAAATCAGTAGGTAGTGAAATGCTATGCGTAAGAAGCTATGCGTGTTATAGGTCTGAATATACTGAGATAACGGATAACAGAAATGAATAGCGACGAAAAACATATTGCGTCGACCCATAGCTTAGTGCGAGACAAGGGCTAAAACTAGAAGAGATAGTGAAAATGCTAATTCTTTGGTTGTTAAAAAATATATACAATTCTTTTATAAAATTATAATTCTTAAAATCTTGTGTAGCCGCCATCTGCCTCTATAACAGCTTGGAGACGTTCCCTCATCGAGTGCCCTCATTGCAGTGCCCTTGTAGTGCTTCTGCTGTTCGTTCATTACGGTTACACCATCTCTGAACCATCAGACCCCACATATTTTCAATAGGGTTGAGATCTGGCGATTTTGCAAGCCATGGTATCAAGTTTATTTCCGGATGTGCATCAAACCAAGCACGTGTTACCCTTGTTTTATGTAAGGGACAGTTATCCTGTAAATAATTAAATTGACGGATTTCATTTTCTGGATAAACGTTCCGGACGGATGGCAACATAGCAGTTTGGAGAACATCAACATAATCTGATGCCGTTGCTCGTGGTGGCAAAAAGGTCAAGTCTCCAACACCATCAGCAGTCATCCATCCATACAAATTTACCGAGATACGACCCGATTCTCTATTTGGCACGACATGATTTTGCGTGTATCGCGTTTTATTGAATCGCCAAAGGTGTAGACGCCCGTGTTGACTGGATTTAAAAGTTTTCTCGTCACAGAAAACAGTGTTACTCCAATCAAAATCCAAATATTCTATGGTGAAATTTAATCTGGCCATTCTATGAGCGTCAGTCATATAAATTTTCTTTGCATAACGCCTGTGATGTAAGCCCATGTAATGTAAATGGTTTCTAATGGTTTGGAGAGTCACGTCAAATATGTCGGCAAAATAACGCGTTGGTATAAAGCCAGATTCCTCATAACTCCGTCTCATGAAGACTCGCTGAGTATCTGATATTTCAGGTCTACGACCGCTACGACTCCGAGCGTTCAAATTCAAAAAAAAAAATATACTCGGACTTGGTCTGAGATTTTACATTAAACTCACGTCAGACATAATAATACTTACCGACACATTTAATTCTCTAGAAATCTCACTAATATTCAAACCATCATTGTGTAATGCGATTATTTGTGCTCTTTCGTTAATGGATTAATTTCGGGGCATTGTAGTGTAAATTAATTAGGAAAATACCTACGGAAAATGCCGAGAAAATATTTGACATGAATTGTCAAGTGATATATTCTTTTTCAGTAAAAGAGTTTTCGTAACAAAATAGTTTCCACTTTGAAGTGACCTACTTAAATTTTAAATTTATGAAATATTGTGAAGACTATTTGTTGTTGCAAATTATTATCAAATGCATAGGCTGCAAAGGTCAAAATAACATTTATGCTCTACGACAACACGTCAGCATTGTGCATCTCTTTTATTGTTTGTATGCAATTCTAAGATTCGCCTTTAGCGATGCTTTAAAGACACGGGAAATGTTGTCAAAACTGGTAGACCACTTTCTTGGCCGACCGTACCCTAAATACAAGAACACTCAGGACTGAGGAACGACTAGTAGAACTATCGAAAGCTTTAAAAGGGGTAAAATGGGATTTAATAGGACTTAGCGAGATAAGACGAATGGGAGAGGAGATAAGTGAATATGACGACTATATATTCTACTATAATGGCGAAAAACAAGGAATGTACGGAATCGGATTTCTAGTTAAGAAGTTTTATAAAAATTATGTTTAACAATTTCAAAGCAAATCTGACAGAATCGCCATATTGAATATTAAACTTCCTAAAATCAAACACGCTATCTCAATAATCAAAATATATGCACCCACCGAGCAAAATTCTGAAAAAGAAAAAGATAAATTCTATGTTATATTACATAAAACAATGGAGGAAACTTATAAACAAAAAATACTAATAGGCAACTTCAACAGTCAAATTGGCGAGGCACAAATAGGCGAAAAATATATTATTGGAAAATTTAGTAAAGGTAAAAGAAACGAAAACGGTAATAGACTAGTTAACTTCGCAATGGAGTATAACCTAAAGTTTATGAATAGTATATTTAAGAAAAAGACATTAAGACAATCAACATGGATATCACCTGATGGTAAACATAGAAATGTCAGACTTTATATTCACGAATATACCCATCAGTTCCTGAACATTGAAGTAATCAACAAGCTAAACTTCAGTACTAACCACAGAATAATAAAAGGAACCATAAAAACATGCAACACAAAAAAAACAAGAAGAAACTATAATATTAAAACACCGTGATACCATGTATGCCAAAGGAAGTTAAATTGGAATTAAAAAAGACACTCCCAGATATGAAATTAAAAAGCACAACTCAGCAAAAGTACGACAAAATGGAACAGTACTTACTAAGAAAGAAAGGGGGAAGCTATTGCAGGATAGCAGAAACAGCATCAAAAGTATACAATCTATCAGCAAAAAAAAATACAGTACAAATCAGGAAACACAACAAAGAAAGAATAATAAATAACATCACAGATGAGATAGAGAAAACAGGAGGTATAAAAAAGGCTTGGAAACAACTGAAAGATCCCAAACCTGGATACCAAATATAAAGACTAAAAATCTCCAAGGAAATACAACAACACATGCGAAGAGACAACAAATAAACACAATAGCGACACCAATTAATAGGAATTTGTATCATGATACCTCCTTGGGAGATTATAAAGAAATAGAAGCCTATCAACAAGACGATGAAGGCATCCTAGAGATACTCCTAAGCTGTTATGTCACAAAAAAACAATAACGCACCAGGAGATGATAAACAAATGAGCTTCTAAAGGAGACTTTCGATATTAAAGGGCAAACATTAACAGAAATTTTTAATGAAATTTTACATAATGACGAAATACCTAAACAATGGACCGAATCGACAATTGTTCTCATACATAAAAA